CTGTACTGGGCTAGCTTGATTGGTCTCTCAGAGTTGGTAAGACAACTCCCACCTGTTTATGCTCTCTGTATGTGTGTATGTATATCTCCTCAATATTTATTCCACTCTATATGCATCCGAAGAAGTGGGCTGTAGTCCACGAAAGCTTATGCTCTAATAAATTTGTTAGTCTCTAAGATGCCACGAGTACTCCTGTTCTTTTTGCATCTCTAAGGTGAATACTTTGATAGAACCACATTCAGAAATCTTGCCAGAAACTTGATGAGTGATACTCTGTCCAAAGCATGCTTGTTCTAAAGGCAATCCCTGTCCACACCTAGAGAACCAAACCATGATAAAACAATGTCAGCTTCACAATGGCCAGAACTGTGTCTGGCAAACATTTTAGTGTAGAATTCTCTGCTCGTGCAAATTGGTATAGCTCTACTGACTTCAATGGAATTATGCCAATTAATATGATCAAACAATTTGACCTTTTTGATCTTCACAGTAGTTTATCAGTGTCTGCTCCAGTATAGGTAGAGTCTGTTCTTGCGGTGGTCCAGGTATCAGATGGAACAGTGATTTCATTTAGGAATTAAGCCCTGATCCTGCAAACACTTTTATACTTTGTACATAACTTGATGCACAGGGTTAGTTCCATTGTTGGGTTGAGTTGCATGTATAAAGTTAAGCATGTGTTTAAAAGAGTTTGTGAATCAGGGCCTTAGTCAGAAAGGATTAGTTTTTTCCTGCATTGAGAAAACCCAATCATGAAGGGTAAGGATCAGATTTTTAGGGCAAATTTTGTACTCAGATTTGTCTGTTTGCTGCAGGTTTTTGTTTAATAAACAAAACAAAACAAATAAAAGAACAGCCTAATCCATTTATTACTTTTTTGCAAAGGCCTTGTTACAAAGACACAAACTTCACCACAGCTGCAGAAGAGGGTAACCAGTCCTCTGTATTATCAGCAGAGCTTGGAGTGTTGGGGATAAAACCACCTGGTGAGTTGACTTCCTTATTCCCTCATGCACAGAGGGAATTGTGTTAAATTCAATCAGAATATCAAACGGAGGAACATAAGAGGAAAGCAAGACAAACGGAAGATAAAATGGAAGTTGGGACCAGTTCCAGAACTGTGGAGCCAAACACTCCTGAACTTTGGTGACAGTTGGTTCCAGATTAAAATCTTGATCTGAACCTCCTCTAAATAAACTCCAAATCATTGACAACATTCTCCTTGCTTTTCCTGATCTCAAACTCTCTGAATACATTGAAACGTGTGTTGCATTTTGCCCTTCGCTGACATCTTTTCTCCTGTCTCCCAGGTCTTTTATGATCTGCATATGTCCAAGTGCTCCTTTGAAGCTTAATTAAAAAAGGATAATTCTTCAGACTGGAGGAGTCTGAATTGTTTGTGATTGTTCAGGTTTGCCTCATGAATGCTGGGATGTTTACTCTCTTCTTGCTGGGTGCTCAGAACTGCCACTAAAGCTAGTGGGAGCTATGTGCATCCAGTAAGAGAAGTATGTACCCCCAATGTATTTTTTTTTTTACATCCCGTATTGCTCAAGCTGTGCTCCCTCTCCCCTCTTCTGGTCCACCCTCTCACCAAAACAATCAAGCACAGAGGAAGTTCACAATACAGTGCTCTCCTTGTGAAAGTTACCTTATAGTTTCAGTAGCTCTGTCATCTCGGGGCCTTGCAGCAGTTTCAATTTTCTGGCAGCTTGACTGCTCAGTGGCTCAATTTTTTTTTTTGACTCGCCTTCATTGGGAGCCTAACTATCTCCAGATGTTCAGGAGTTTTTGTAAGTGAGCGGGAAAGGACTTGATCGCCAGTTTGAGTGTCTGGCAAAGAGCTCACTGCAGCCCTTTGTTTAGGCATCCAGTTTACCAGGACAAAGCATGCAGCATAGCCTTACTCCTTAGCACTGTATATATTTAAATACTCATTACAGTCAGCATTAGGTAAGCAACCCTTCCTTTTCCCACAGCTTAGTTAGGCAGCCAGATAGAAAAATAGTAACATGTCATTGCTCTTCGTAGTATTTAAAGGTACGTCAGTAAAGCGTACAACAAGAAATGGCCTACGTGGTATAAATCAGTTTCAGATTAGTAGGATGGCCACAATTATTTAAAGTGATGTAGCTTTTATACATGTGTATACCAAAATCCAATCCCCAAACCACACTCTAATACCAGCCAGTATTTCAGAGAATGAGGGCATAATTTTCAGTTTGGAGGAATGGTTAGTAAATCATAATGCTGGCAGAAGCATTGATAGTTATTAAGGGCTAGATTGTGACTTGGCCTATACACCCACACAAGGCAGATAGGGGGAGCAATCCCTCTTGTGTCCTTGCCGGAGCTACTTGGACCTTAAGTTCAGGCATGTGAGAATAAGAGGACGCTGTGCCAGGAGCAGGGGGACAGGGAATAAGCAGAGCCTTGGCTCCACCCCCACTTCATGCCGGCCACTGTAGCTGAGCAGACACGGGGTGTTTTCATGTGCTACTGTACAGGCCTGCAGCAATTTACTCCCATTGGAACAAGAAGGAAATAGGGAAGGAAGCATGATTCAGAACTGAGTCACAAAGCCTCCTGCACCTAGGGTTGCCTTGAGGACAGGCAAAAGGGGCAGTTTGCCCCAGGCACCTTGGTTTAGAGGGCCCTCAAACCGAGTGGTGTTGCGACCTGGTGCACTCAGGTTTGGCCCGGCGGCCCGGAGGTCAGGACAGAGAGGTGGCTGGCTCCTAATCTGAATGAGTGGTGCCTGAGCGTGCTGGAGCAGGGAACCAGGCCCAGCCTCTTGGGACAAGAGCCGCTGTTGTGATATGAGCGAGGGGTGGGCTCTCTCTCTGGCTTTATCCTTTCCCCATCTCCTCACCCCAGACCTCCCCTCAGTGTTTTTGACCCTGGGTTGTTTTTGGTTTTTTTTTGAAGGGTGCAGGAGCCTTGGTTTCAGAATTTGCCCCAAGACCCTCAGACCTCTGTTTAGCCCTGCATGCACCATCCTTGTCTCAGATCTGTGTAGAGTTACAATCTAGCCTAAAGGTGTGGGGTGCATTATAAATATTTCAGATGATTTTGAAATGTTGGCGGGATTATAAAAATTGCCATGACGCAATCAAGAAAGTTAATATAAACCTTCTAGCCATGCTGTGCTACTGAAGCGGATTTCTTCAGGGACGCATGGGAGAAATAATGGTACAGTCTCAGGAAATGAACAATTAAAGAACATGTCTTTAATGTAATGGAATTTTTCTTTATTTTCTCTGCCTGGTTAACGGCTTGCTTTCTTAGGGGTGGAGGAAATGTAATAGAATACTGTCTGTGACTTTGTTATTGAGAGAGTCTGTTGAGTTAATGAAATGTTTCTTATATGCCTATGTTGCTTTGATTCAATGAGGTCTCTTGCCAGGGAGAAAACAATAGCACCCGTGTAAGAACATTCCAGTACACACCTGAAAGATGGCAGAAAATGTATTGGCTTCAAAGATCCTGCATCCTGTCTCCAGATTGCAAGACTTGGTCTGCCAGTGCTGGGAGCTAATAGGACTATAAACAGTTTAAAAAGCGACTTGGGCCCAGATCCCCAAAGACATTTAAGTGTCTAACTCTTTGGTCCCTGCAAGGAGGGCGGGATTAAAAGACTGAGCAGGCATTAAAGACACGCACCTGAAAGCAAAGGGAGTGAACTGGATTGTGAATGAAGGGAATGGACTGCCACCCAAATCCTAGAGATCTTGGGGAGTCTCTTGAAAGCTTAGACCTACCAGGATTCCCACATAGTATATGAATAGACACCTGGTAAAGTCAACATGTTTATAGTCTGTTTATTGTTTCCAGATGTTTGTATCTGAAATGCTTTAGTTATGACTAAATAATACTTTGCTTTCAGAAGGCTATTGGTCAATGGATGCCACAGATCATAGCTTCTGAGGACCACAACTGCAGATACTGAACCTAAGGTGGGACTATTGAGGTAATCACAGCACCAGAGGAATCCAGTTCAAGGCTGAGTCTGAGACTGGAAGAATCTTGTGAATGAACCCTGAGAGGGAGGTGACCTTTGAGACTGAGATGTGAGTGGGGGTGAACTCAAAGAGACAAGGGGTCCGAGGTTCAGACAGCCTTGTCATGGTGACAACAACATCAAAAAAATATCCCAACCCCTTTATATAGTATTACTATAATATTATAAAATCATTGCTACCTACTGTTTGCTTGTTTATTTTTAAGAAAACCAATGGTTGTTTTTCTTTCTGTTGATCAATGGAGCCATGTTTCAATTATCACATGAGTAATGGTTAAACACTCTGTCAGTTTCCAAATGGTCTGCCTACAAATCCCTCTAAAACTCATTAAAAAAACAATTCATAATGCAGGCATGGCACTGCCATGCTTTAACATTTTGACATCTGTTATGACATTATGTGTCTCATTGAGTTACAAGACAGAAAAGAAAACTAATGCAAAAAGTGTGTGTGTGTGTGTGTATGAAGAAGTAAATAAATATCCATTCCAAAGAGCTACAGCCAACACCCATTGGCTGATATTCAGGCATATTAACTTGGATGTGCTCCCCCAACTCCTGAGCTTGCCCAGCTAATATCTTAGTATTGGCAGCACCCTTGATCTGTCACAGGAGGATAAAATAATGAAACCCCATAGACCAGACTCTCAGCTGGTGACAACTGGCATAGCTCCATGGATTTAAATGGAGCTATATTGATTTACATTGTTTGAGGATCTGGCCTCATGTCTTATTTTCAGAGTAGCAGAGAACCTCTAACAACTATGATAAGATAATTTTTCTGGCATGTACATGGCACTGTTCTGCATGTCACTCTATGTGCATGACTGTCTTTGATGTCAATGGGACTTCTGCATGTGGAATGATTCCAGGATAAAGCCATATCATAGACCCATCATTTGTATGTGGTAGCATTAGGGGAGTTGGGCTTCAAATCCCATATTTGTATCTGTCAAGTATATCAAGAATTTGTCTCCAAGAATATGGATGAGTGTTCTCCTATGGGAGAAGGTGGAAACAGGACAGTTGACTGAGCAAGGACTGAAGAAGTTTGACTGGCAGCTGGAAGCATTAGCAGGAGAAAGGGTTGTTATGTGAAGGGAAAACTGGGGGACATTTTTTACTGTACTTGTGGTAAATTGCTTTTTTTGTTTGTTTGTTTTATCTTCTCTAGGGTAAGCTGCTTGGGTCACAGACTGCCTTCCGTTCTATGTTTGTAAAATGCCACCGCACAATGGGGCCCTGCTTGGTACTACCAGATTACAAAGAGTAAATAATAAACAAAAGTGATGGGGCATATTGATTGATTGTTCTCCACATCCCTGAAGGCAGGACAAGAAATAATTAGTTTAATCTGCAGCAAAGGAGATTGAGGTTAGATATTAGGAAAAAACTCCCTAACCATAGGGATATTTAAGCTCTGGAATAGGCTTCCAAGGGAGTTTGTGGAATCCCCATCATAGAAGGTTTTTAAGAACAGCTTAGACAAAGACCTGTTAGGGATAGTCCGTCCTGACTCAGGTGACCTCTTGAGGTCCCTTCCAGCTCTACATTTCTATGATTGGGCCCACAGGTACTTCTTTATGGCTGGCTCTCTGTAATACCATTAATTTCACTGGAAGTTTTTAAATTTAATTATGGAGATATACCTATCTCTTAAAACTGGAAGGGACCCTGAAAGTTCATCAAATCCAGCCCCCTTCCTTCACTAGCAGGACCAAGTACTGATTTTTGCTCCAGATCCCTAAGTGGCCCCCTCAAGGATTGAACTCACAACTCTGGGTTTAGCAGGCCAATGCTCAAACCACTGAGCTATCCCTTAGTTCCTCCAGAAGAAGACTCTGGTTCTACAAACACACATTTACCTTTATGTACTTGGGCCACTCTATTGTGGTCAATAGGACTACTCACATCTGTAAGGTTTAGACCATCCATAAGTGTGTCCAAATGGGGACCCAAGTGAAGACAGAGTTGGACCTATTGACTCAGAGTTGCATGGACATAACTGAAAGTGCAACTTGAGCTAATAGCTCCTTGGCTCTTTGCGTTACCCCCCACATCACCCTTGTGCGCAAACCTTGTCCTTCTGTCTAAAAAGTTGTAAGTGACAATTCCAAAGAAGGAAAAATATTATTTAAAAGCAAACACATCAAGATATAACATTAGAACCATTTTCACTGGTGCAATTATGATTGTACATTCTGTGCAACTGGGTCACGTGAAAAGAAAGACAGTTCAGGAGGAAGAATGGCAGCTTTTTTTCTTTTTCCTTTAAACATTGGGGCACTAGCAGGGGGTCTGGAAACTTAAATCTTCAAAGAAAGAGAGAGAAGCAGCATGTCATATTTCTCTGATGGCTGCCATGTCTCAGTTTACATCTGTTTCCTGTACAAGGAAGCACAAGTAGCAATGAAATCACAAGGAATAATGCCAGTGCTCATTATTTATTTTAAACTGATAATCTTAGTTGAATTTACAGTTTGATTCCATGTAGCCATAAAGCACCTTTTAAAGAATACAGTTGGGAAATAGCTTTAATGCCTTTTAAGCCGGGGCCCATCTATGTTAAATGGACAGACTTTAAATCATGCTTCCACTGGATGAAGAAATGGACAATTAGGATTTCCCAGAAATTTAGTGCTGTAGGTCATGTGACCCATCTAGTGCATTCCTGCTTCCAACTGCAGACACAAAGCTCACATGAATCAGAGTCTATGTATGTTCCTCAGGGTGACGAAGAATCTTGGATGCTGAAGGGAGTGGGGAAAGAGTAAAATTAACTCATTTGAATAAATTAAATTACGTGCACCACAGAGCAATTAGCAAAAGTATTTGTGAATTGTTACAATAGAGCATAGAAACAGGGTGGGCTTTTTTTGACATTGGCCTTACATCTCTATTCATGCAGCTAAAGAGACAATAGGAATTGTATGAGCCAGAGTGACTCTTGGTTAGCAGCATCACAGAATATCAGGAAGAGCTCTATTATGGTTTTATTAGCGGAACAAGGACATTGTAATCTTTGTTTTTGTTTTGTTTTTGTAAATATACAAATTAGCGCCGTGGGTATAATATAGAAAGGGACCTATGTTCTGTACAAATTGTTCCACCAATAACATCACGACGTACATCACTGAAACATCTAGAGAGTGAACAAGTAAGACCACATTTGTTTTGAAATACAATAGTTGTCAATGCAGCCGGAGGCATAACGTCAGAACATCCTCTGTCTCTGGCACCTGGCTACCATCTTTATTTGACTTTCAATTTCCACCCATTTGTAAACCAACATGCGGTTGGGGGTAGGAAACACAGTAATAGACTCTTCCAGTCTTGATTGACTGTCCTTTCCTTATGGAAATAATCAGAATGTGGGAAATTCTCATTATGTCATATAATCCAAAACACTGGATGATTTAAGCACTTTGGGACAGATTTATAAAAGTGCCTAGGTGCAGAGCCTCAAAGGTATTAATGGAATTGGATACCTAGAAGTTAGTGGGAGTTAGAATTTTCAAAAGCTCTTAGGGCCCAGATCCTCCAAAGGTATCTAAGCTGATGCTAGGCACTTATCTGCATCTTTAGGCACCTAAATACTTTTAAAAATCTGGCCCTTTGTCGTTAGTAAATAAGTGCAGGGTCAAGATTTTCAAAAGTGACTAGCAATTTTCAGTTCCCAAGTTTGAGATACCTTGAAGGGACCTGAGTTCCAGAATGCTGATGCCCAACACTTTCTAATAATTGGGTCCCTTTAAGGATTCTCAGGTTGAACACCCACAGTCACTGGTCACTTTTGAAAATCTTGAACAAAGCCTATTTCAAATTCTCTTCTGATAGCTGCTATAGCCTCTTCAGGAGCAGCAGCAAACCAGGCAGCTATATTGCTTCTATAACATCCAGGGACTCCATACTGGGAGAGCCTCCATCTAGGAAAATAGAGGAGATTTCTGCTCTCTTTGCACTGAGCAGAGCAAAGGGAATGAGAATCTGCCTCCTGACCTCTCTTATCTGGACTCCTGGGGCTGATCGCAACAGTCATGGCATTTTTGTATAAATTTGCCACCTCCCACCCCAAAATCAAGATAAGAACATGAAAACTGCTTGGAATACAGAGTAGTTACGCTTGTTAAGTCTTTGTATACATTTTCTTTATCACATTGATCAATTATTTCTAATAGTTTGGGGTTTATTGAAAAAATATGTAATGCTGTTTTTAACACTATCGAATGTTTAGCATTAAAAGCCATTTAGGGCTTCACAGAAGAGAGATTTAGCTCTATGCAAATAAATGGTTAAATCTGTTCTGCTGTCCCTCTGCCTTGCTCCTTTAGCAGTGATGGAGAATTGCCTGGCACACAAGTGTGAGATGTAGCAGCTGAACATAAGACCCCAATGCATGCTCTTCCTGTGCTCATCAGACAACGGTGCTAGTGGTTCAGGAATTCCCTTTGAGGTCATGTAATTAGAATGCTGGGCCAATAGCTTGTTTGCCCCAAAAGCATCATTACCTTTGACTCACCTTTGTTCTTGAGGATAACTTGCATTATCTATAAAATCAGTTCCTGTACCAATTCCTTATGATAATATATGCAGGACTTCTCTGTCATCTGGCTAAATAGATGCACTGCCTTTGGGGATCATTCATATCCTGTTACAAGGGTCACTTGTTCTTCAAATGTTTCTTTTCTGAAGAGTGAACTTCACAGCTTCTGTGTGTACAAAATATTGGGCAGCTTTTCCCTGCCCCCAAATTGCTACATGGGAAATTTCTATGAACAAAGAGTTTGGCAACGTGGGTTTTTGAAGGCCATGTGCAAGTTAGATTGGACACTTTGCACTCCTTTGTCTTAGCCTCTGAGACTGCTTAACCTGCTTTGAGAGCTCACATTATTCTTTTACTTTCCCAGAAGCAAAATCTATCCACTGCATGTTTATGTTGCTATTTCCCCCTCTCATTTCAGTTAACACCAAAAGAAGTTGGCAAACTGATTTCCCACTGGAAGGAAAATGCCAGCGACAACAGTAAAATGTAAGACAGGAATGAGAAGAATAATGGTGTAAACAGAGATGGGTCCAGACGAAAACCCTAGATAGGAACATACCCAAATCGTGTAGCTCAACCTATTTCTGATAAGCATAAGGGGGGATTTAACTACCCAGGCATCAGCTACCATAGTGTGTGTGCTTACAGGCACACACACCTGGCAATTAGGCTGTTTGAAACGTGGTATTTGCAGATAACTTCCTAAACCGGCATGGGAGAGAAGGTATCAAAGAACAAACCATACATGACCTTTCCTTTTAAGCAGTGTGAAGGATGCAGTCACAGAGATAAAGGCAGACAAAAATCTTTGACAAGAGTGACCACAATGTAATAAGTAAGGTACAGGGTAAATACCAGGGTTATCAGTAAAGAGGATTAGAGGAGATCATTACCCATTAACAGGGCAAGCTTTGAGAAAATGACAGTAGCATTGGAAAGAGCTGACTAGGATAGGGGAAGGAGGTCTATGAACAGCGGAGGGGAAATGGAGGTTTCTAATAGCAAACATATTCCAAGCTCAAAAATGAGCACGCTGGTCAGAAATAGTAATACAAGAAGAGTGAATTTGATTGACAAAGGAAGTCATAAATACTAGGACTGGTGCAGAGAAGGGCTACTAGGTGATCCGAGGAATGGAAAACCTATCTTAGAAGAGAAGACTCAAAGAGCTTGGCTTGTTTAGTCTAACCAAAAGAAGGCTTAGGGGAGATATGAATATATAAATACATCACAGGAATAAATACCAGGGAGGAAGAGGAATTATTTAAATTAAGCACCAATGTGGACACAAGAACAAGTGGATATAAACTGTCCATCAACAAATTTATACTTGAAATTAGGCCAAGGTTTCTAACCACCAGAGGATTGACATTCTGGAACAGCCTTCCAAGAGGAGCAATGAGGGCACAAAAACCTAACTGGCTTCAAGACTGAGCTTGATAAGTTTATTGAAGGGATGGTATGATGAGACTGCCTACAATGGCATGTGGCTGATCTGTGACTGCTATCAGCAAATATCTCCAACGCCTGGAGATGGGACACTAGTTGGGGAGGGTTCTGAGTTACTACAGAGAATTCTTTCCCAGGTATCTGGCTGGTGGGTCTTGCCCACATGCTCAAAATCTAACTAATTGCCATATTTGGGGTCAGGAAGGAATTTCCCCCCGATCAGATTGGCAGAGATCCTGTGGATTTTCCACCTTCCTCTGCAGCATGAGGCATGGGTCACTTGCAGGTTTAAACTAGTGTAAATGGTGGATTCTCTGCAAATTGAAGACAAACCATTTTTTGAGGCCTTCATTAATTGAACCAGAAGGTAGGGACCTATTATAGGAGTGGTGGGTGAGGTTCTGTGGCCTGCAATGTGCAGGAGGTCAGACTAGATGATCATGATGGTCCTTCGGACCTTAAAGTCTATGATCAGGACTGCTAATTGTTATGGTAATACACATGAGTAAGAATGAAGTCAATCCAGTTACACCAGTGTAATCCTCATATGAGAGCTGAATCTGGGCCAGAGACATTATGGGGCACATTTTCAAAAGTGTCCACTAGATTTGGCATCCCAAAATTATTTATTCCCCAAAAACTGAGGCACC